GTGTTGAGAGGAAGGAAAGGATTTTAGTGCGAACTATTGGAGGGGAGTTGGTGGGGGGCCAGCCGCCCCCTGCCCTAACAAACACAAAAAAGACTTACTTCCATGTAAATGCAGCATGGCACTATAAAGTTACCATTTAAAACCAGACCATACTTGCAGTAACATCTCAATTTCAAAACGAAATAAGCAAGCATGATTGTGACTAAAATAAGTTATGATGTGTTGATCAACTAGACCCAAGCAGTTGGTGAATACCCTAAATTTTTAGAGGCTTTGGACTGGACTTGGTCTTTGACAAGAAGCCAGCAGTCACATTCCAGAAGTAATGGGTGAGGCCAAAACAAATTCCTAATTAATTAAAACTGAAAATATTTAATACGACTTCTCCCTAAACCCATGCTTAATAATTTCCCCTTTTGTTCTACTAAAAGTTACAATTTTCACAATAACTTCCAGGGTTTGGGGGAAGCCAACTGGAAAAAGTATATTTTGTGGATTCATGTGCCCGTTTTAAAGAGTTGGCTTCAAATCCTTCTCCTTCTCTGGTCTGAAGGTGACCACACGTGATCCTCCAGGGGCCTGGCTGGACTCCCAGGGAGGGCGACGAGAGCTGCAGAATGAGTTGGGAGTTAGAGATGCAGCCCAACCAACTGAACCAGGAAGGCCTGAGCAAGGACTGCAGCAGGTGAAGAGCGATTGGGAAGTCATGAAATAAGCAAGCAGGGCTGCAGGCAACTCCTAGGGGAAAAAGACCCAGTGTGGGATGGTGACTTACTTTCGGAGATGTTCGTTCTCCTTCAAGAAGAGTTCCGTTCGTCTGTTGTTGACACCACACCCGCTTTTGTACGACCTGGGAGATTTTGAAGAAAAATGAGATGATATGTGAAAAAGAATTCAGATGTCAAGCTGCGACGACTTATGGAGAGGGTCCCCATCTGGACAACCCCCAGCCTAACTGCCTTCTTCAGAATGTTACTTTTCTTATCCATTTCTGCACAGGGCTCCTTAACTCCTTCCAACTCATGGGATCTGGAGCACTGTCCCCTTCTTACGAGCCTCTGATGCTCTCAAACTTCACACCAAACACAACTCTCCACTCCACCCGCATTGAGAAACTTGACAGAAGCTTCAAACACACAATCCAGGTAGAGGAGGTGCTTTATAGCAGTTGAGAACAACTCACAACGCAGTCAGCGGTTTCTTGCTTGGTTTCAGTAAAAGGGCTGATGCAGACAGAACTGTTATTAGAACCATCTCTAACTCTCAGGCAGTAAAACAATGGCTGGAGGTTCACTGATCTCTCTCTTTCTCTCTCTGCTCCAGAGTTCAAATTCTAGGCCTTCTCTTCTCACCTTTTCAAGTCAGTGGACTTTTAGCCCCCCACCTGCCTTTGAAGGTGGGTCTATAGAGGTGGGGAAAAGTGTTTGGCAGCAGGCACAGGTGATAACCCATAATTTGTTCGGCCTCCATCCTGGCTCTATTTAAACAAGTCCTTAAGACCCAACTCCACCCCAGGCCTTGGATTAATGTGGATGATGGAGAATTTGTACAGTGGGTTGGTTTTTAAAGTATTGGTTTTTCCAGGTTTTTGATGATTTTTGTATTTTATAACATTTTACTCTTGTATTCTGTAGGTCGCTCAGAGTTGTAACAGATTGGGGTGGCCTATACATTTTATAAATAAATAAAAATAACTTGAGGTGGCCTGAAACAACGAGCCAAGACATGAACTGAGTTATTTTAAGAAAACTTAGCCATTGTAAGTGAACTTAGATAAAAGAGAAAACCAATAGTTTTTCTGGTAATTTACACAGCAGTGAAGGAATTATTCTAAGGTGACATTTGTCATCCCTGTTTCTCCGACTGTGGATGATGGGCAGAAAACAGATGGGGCTTCAAAGTAGAGATTTCCAAAACTGTGTATCTTCATCAGAAAGGAGATGATCTGGAAACACACAACCTGTTTCAGAAGAGGAGTGGATGAGCGGTCATGACAGGAACCAACACATGGCATCCTGAGATCAAGTACCACCAGAATGGCATCCAAGCTCGTGACACAAGGTAGATCACTAATAAAACCCAATAAACTATGTCCCAAGGCTTCTGTGGGGAAGGGAGGGGATGAAACAGTTGGGCTGACTTGTTGATGAGAGTGACAAGTGGCAAGAAAAAACATAGACCTTGACATCTACTCTAAGGTGAGGCCACCAAAAGTCACTTAAATATTCCAAAATATCCAACAGGTTGGCTGTTATGACAGAACTGCAAGATTTCTTCCCTCAAGGAAAGAGGAAGGTACAACAATCACTGTGACGCAGTTCTCCCTGGTCATATGAAAAAAGGCGGATGAAGACAAGGGTCTCCCTAAAGGACATCAGTCTGAGCCTGCATTTATGAGTCCTACTCTTGCTGAGCACAGATTTGAACAGGTAGGGAAGGAGTCTCCTTTCCAGCTGGAAGTATGCACATGACTGGCTAAGTGCCAAAGGGAAAAGGCAGATGTTTGAGCTCAGAATGGTGGGGGTAGGCTTGCAGGGTAAGTAATATTCTTACTTACTGATCAAGCATCCACCTCTCCCCACGAATTGGTCATGTAAGAGATATGGAAGTTAAAACAAGAAAAAAAAATGTGCCCATCCGACCTGGTGCTGTATGAGCCTGTAACAAATTTGTACATATTCTAAATTCTTCAGGTCAGTCTGGACCTTGAAAGGGTGTTCTGCCTCTTCAAGGAGATGGGGCCCCCACTGAAAGGTTTCTTTGATAGACAAAAGCCGTTTGTTAAAAACATCATTGTTCCTTTCTGTTGGGAGAGGCTGCCCCGAAAAGAATGCACGAGGAGGAGGGTGTCATCAAATCCTGGAGTGGACTGTAGAAGGCCAGCTCCTGAGCAAAACTGGAAGCATCAACCTGTAGAATAAGGGATGAGGAGGATCTAGATGACCGAAGGTGGGCAGAGAAGCGAATGCTTGTTTGAACAGGAGTATACTTGCTGAATTTTGCAATTCTGCTTTAAGGGAACCCCTTTCTTGCTACGTTGAATCAGCAGTGAAAGGAAAATTAGGGGAAAATATGAAAAAGACTACAGTAAACATTGCTAAAGCCCAGAAAATACATCCAAATTCCACTCAAAGAAATATGACAACTCAAAAAATCCAATTCAGGCAGATCAAAGGCACAGTTTTAAAAGTTAAGTGGCGAGATCAGAGCCATGGACACTTTGAAGAACTGCTGGAACATGTTGAGTCTGGACAGCAGGATCTCCAGAGTAAATGAGCAAATTGTCCAAATATTCAAAAAATGTCCTAAATTCATGAAAAATATGGTTTATAAACATCATGAAGACTGAAAATACTTTCTGTCCCACTTGGTTAGTTCACCACCTGGATTAAGTGGTCCATACAGTTTGCAAACTTGGTTCTCATACTGGAGAAGATACCGGCCATTTATGCACGTTTAGCAAGGTTGAAAGAGAATCTGTATCCACCATTTCATCTCAGTGTTCAAGCAAAGGCCGTTCAAGGAGACGGACCCTGCTGAAAGAGTTCACACAGGCACAGCAATAAGTCTTGATTTTCAAATACCGAATCCCGTAATTCAGAAACTTGCTTCAGCAGAAACTTCAAAGATACAATACGGCTGGGGAAGTTGCTTCATTGCAAACAAGTCTGCAACGTCTGCCCTCTGGAATACTATACTCCCGAGATCCAGATGGCCCCAACTCTGCTGGTATTCCAGAACGTCTGAAAAACATGGCTGTTTTCCCAGACGTAGGAAGTTAATGGGTCCCACGAGATGGGTGCTATTGTTGGGATGACTGCTCTCCTCGGCTGCCACAATATGCATATTTATTGTTACTGTTCTTTGTCAGCCACCCAGAGTCGCTGTGGCGAGACGAGCAGCCATAAAAACTGATTTAAATAAAGTCATATATACACAGATCTGCCTCTAGCAGAACAAAAAATTCAGCCCTAGCCATATGTCAGCTCCCGAGGTTAAAGTTTAGCCTATTCCTCCTGACTTTTCAAATCAGTGGAGTTTTCTCTTCTCTTTTCCCATCCTTGAAGGCTGAAGACTTCTCTTCAGTGTTTAGATTGGTTCTGCCTGGACTCAACACTGTTGGTTCCCGTCTCACCAGCCCTCAGAGCTCCCCGCAGGATGCTGCCCAACAGCCCCTCATGTTGTCCTTCCCAGTAAGACAGCAGCAAAGACAGTTTCTCTCCAACAGTAATTTAACTCAAGGATGTAGAACCAGAGGCCCTCTGAACGCTGCTGAACTGCAATGCCCGGCAGCATGGCTCAGCCCAGCCAACAATGAAGGATGCTAGGACTCACAGCTCAGAAATACCTGGAAGGTAGCCACAGAACTCCCACCCCAGGAGCCCTTAGCTGCCTAATCCTTTTTACTTGCATCTCATTATTGAAATCAGAAGGCAACAGCTGAGTTTTATAAAGAAACAGCTCTGGCAGGGCCTTGGCTTCCACAATGGGGAGGGTGAGCTATTCAGCCAAGTCATCAGCTCATGTGGTAGTGAACACGATGCCAACCTTGCTGCTCCTTCATGTTGTGCGCAAGTAAATTAATTAAACATACATACAGAGAGGAAGAGAGAGCTGCTGATAAGAAGGAAATGACCACGCCCCGTAGTTACTGGGGGAGTGTGAAGTTCAAAGTCTCCATAAGTGCAGGGATCAGAGCTAAGTAAATACTAGCATAACGCCAAGTCCCAAAGCAAAGTCAATTATTCTGCTAACAGCCTCAGAGTTTCTGCAGAGGCCTGCAGATGCAAGTCCCGAACCCAAAGGCACAGTTTTGTCTCGTTAATGTGACCACCTCTTCCACGCTCTGTTGGTGCAGGTTCTACTGAACGGAGATGGCAAAGCGTGGACTCATGGGACCTGTGCTGATGGGGCAGAGGGAAAAGGGCACACCCCTCCTTATACCCTGCCAGATGAAGGAAACACAGCATAGACCGCCCAATGGGAAATCAAGAAGAAGCAGAATGAAAAAGATCAAGGAGATATTTAAGGAGTGACCGATGGAGAAACGAAGGGAACCAAGAGCCGATGAGACTGGTAGAGAGGCACATGGAGGAAGTGCACAAAAATGGCCAGAGGGAAGGGACTGACTGTGATCAGCCACAGATGCAGCCTCAAGCCATCAAATTTCTTAGATAGTTTCGGGTGGCGCTTCTCCTCCTCAACCCTTTTCCCATTCGGCCTTCGGGAGGGAGAGTGGACTGCCTTATTTTACGCCCTGTACTAGAACTTCAAGATTTGAAGGACCAGGTTGGGGATAGAGTGGCCAGGAGAAAATCTACCTAGGTAGTCAACTAAGCATTGACACCAACCTGATGACACATAATCAATCAATAATTCATAATTAATCACCCAGAACTCCTTTTCTGGCTGATCAGCAGTATAAGTAAAATAGGGACTGGTGAATATTAAAAGCACCTTTGCTAAGGAAGAGGACCAGAAAGAAGGGAGGCCGTGGATAGGCCATCTATGGTGCCTTACCCTTTATTACACATGGGAAAGACAATTTCTTCTTGGTTCACCTTTCCGACGAGCTCAGCTTTCTGAAACCAAAGGCTCTCAGAGGCACGCACTGCAGCTTCCACCCAACTAAATCAGCACTGCGTTTTAGGCCAGGAGAAATTCCCTCTACAAGCAGTCCTCACTTAACGACCCTAACTGGGACCAGCAACTCTGCTGTTAAGCGAAACGGTTACTACGTGGGAAATCACATGACCGCAACTGTGTTTTCTGGCTGGAAAGAGACAAGACTACAGGTAGTTCCCAGTTTAAGAATGAGTTCCGTTCCCAAGATCTGTCCTTAAGTCGAGTTAACGGTATTATTGCATAATACTGTATAAGTAGCATTGTGTAATTAACCCGAACCATTGTGCATCTAACTCGAATTTTGCTACAATAGGCCCTGTTCTTCACCATGGGTCGTCCTTAAACCAGGCACTCTTAACCTGGGGACTCCCTGCACTCAGTTTCAGACCCTTGGCTTTTGTTTGCGTCGTAACCACTCTCCCACCCTTTGGAATGCTCAAGTGCCTGCTTACTGTCCTGTACACATTGAAAGCAATGCGATCGTGCCACAGCCCGGGACTGGGAGCCATGGGCACGCTAAGCAAGCAGCTTACTCTCTGGAAATCCCTTTCTCTCCAATCCCTGTGCTCTGTTGGTGGCAGGGGAACAAACAATTCCTGTAGGCAATCTCTCCTTTGCCTGACCCTTTCCTGCTGCCAGCGCGATTGCATTGCTTTCAATGTATAAAAGAGCAAACAGTTCACTCTCTTGAAATCTCTTCCTCTCCAATCTCTCTGCTCTGGGATGGGGGGAAGGGTCAAAGAGATTTCAAGAGAGTACTGTAAGCCGTGTAGCATGCCCACAGCTCCCAGCCCTGGGCTGTGGCATGATCGCACTGCTTTCAATGTGTAGAAGAGCAAACAGCTTCCTCTCTTGCAATCCCTTCCTCTCCGATCTCTCTGCTCTGCAAGGGGGGGGGGAGAAAAAACTACAAGGCAGGCACAAGGCAATGCATACTGACTGTAATGGTGATCACATGACTGAGGGATGCTATGACTGTAGAGGTTTTTTTCAGCACCGTCGTAACTTTGAACGGTAACTTTGAACGAGTGGTTGGTAAGCGAGGACTACCTGTATTCTTTGTGGGCTAAGTATCAAGTTACAGGTCAGTGCAATCACAGGCAGGGTTAATCTTTAGTCACTTTTATGAGCACTAAGAAATATTTCAGGTAACATATGGTGATGAATCACATAAGGGCCGCCTACCTGCCCCCTTGTGAAGACATCTAGAGAGGGCCTACTGAAGGCTTGGTCTTGATGTGAATTGAAAGAATGTGGATGAAAAAGCATGCCTTGCCAGAAATGAAACATCACGAGATGGCCGGTTGTAGACCAGGTGTGGATCAGGCAGGAGGTCTTTCCAGGAGCAGCCCCTCCTCAATGGCATAGTTTCCCCCTAGAAGTATGGGTCTCTCCATCCAACTGGCATTTCATAAACAAGCCAAAATGGTTTTGTCTCAGGGCACGCTAGGCCCTTAGAACAGATTAATCTACTTTAAGGACACCCATGATGTTTCCCGATGGTTTTGATATTGTTTTTAATGGTTTATATAGTTTTATTTTTGTTTTGACTTCGTTGTAATCTGCCCAGATGTTTTCCTGGTTAAAAGCACAGTGGAATAGGGTTGTCTTAATGGCTTAGCCTACCTACCAACTTACTTATTTACCAAATTACCTCTTAAAAATATTGCTATATTGCCTCCTATGCTATGCACCTCCAGGCCTTATGCCAAATTTAAATAAGAAATCACAATTACATGACTGCAGCTTGCTGAGACATTGTAATCATGAACCAGGTGCTGAGCAACTGGATCGCAATCACATGACTGCGGGGATGCTGTGATGGCCAGAACTCCGAGGATCCATCATAAGTCCCCCTTGTTCAGCACTGTTGCAAGTTTGAATGGTGGCTGAATGAGTGGTCGTAACCTGAGGACCACCTATAAACGAATGGCTATGAGTAACATAGCAGCGGCATTGCAAGATGACAAAAGGCAACATGATTGAAATAATAATATACTGTTAAAAAATTAACAACTTACTCAATATCTTTTCGGACCGATCCCATGAGATTCTCTCTTTCCCGCACTGCCACAAAGTTGGTTTTAGTTTTGTGGAATTCATGCGTGTAA